AACAGTCTAATTAGGAAGGCAAGTACTTGCAATCCCAGCTTCTCATGATCTTTTTGTTCCTCTGTCTTCCTGCCTGCCCAAACCCCACAGGAGCCTGAAGTGTGAGGATCCATCTCAGGAGCCAGGGTAACAGGAGGATTTAAGGTCACCATCAAGACAGGCCACCTCATCAAGACTGTAATTAAGCCAAAATTCCCAGATTAGGCCAAAGGTCTCATCAGGCTAGGCTCCACCCTTAGCTGCCCCTTTTGCCTGGGGTTACTTCATCCCTTCCAGGTCAAGAGAGAGGAGGTCACCCTGCCCAGGCCTTTCCCCCATTCTCTGTCTCTTTTCTCTGAAGGAAGGATCAAGCCTGGGCCAAAACAGTATAAACCTGGAACTGTTTGGTGCCTTGCACCATCTTTCCCAGCCAGGGCCAGAGATAGACAGTCACCTTTCTCTGTCCTGCAGCTCTACCCAGGTCTTGCCCTAAAGAGGGAGTGGAGAGCCAGTGAGAAGGGCGGTGGGCTGAACCCTAACAGTTGCTTTCCATCCACCCTGGGGCAACACAGAGATAGTGACTTAGGCTCCCAGCTGGGACTGACAAATGACAGAGGTCCCAGTCCCTGAGGCCACCTTCCAGTATGTGGTGCACAGAGAGGGTGGGTTGGAAGGATGTCCCATGTGAGAAGGGGGCTAACTGGCGTCCCTTCCGAGGTTGACTTCTGGCTCAGCCCGTCTCTGCCCTGAGCCAGGAGGCCCACAGGGGGCTCACATGCAGCACCCTTTGTCCTGTCTGCCTCCCCAGCCCCCGCAGGCCCTCTGCTCCAGCTGGCATGTCTCAAGGACTCCTTTGGCCTCAAGCTTGCAACCCAAGAGAGGAAGGGGGCAGCACGTGACCCGCGCTAAACCGGGCGCTGGGGATGGACAGGTCTTGCCTTGCCATCTGGCCTCCCACGATGTGGCTGGCTCCCCCCTCTATGAAATCAATAAACTTTTGCGCTCTCAACATCTAGGTCCCTGAAGGTTGGGAGAGAGACCAGTCTTTCGCCAGCTGTAGCCCGGGCCTTTAGATCCAGAAGGAAACCAGGGCAATTCTTCGAGGGTGGGAGGGAGAAGGCCACCGGGTCCAAGGAGAAAGTGGCCCCGGCTCTGAATCGCAACCTCCGCGCCTCTCCTCACCCCGCCCCGCCCCTCCAGGACCAAGTCCTCCGCACCCCATAGGCAGAAGCTACCCTCCCCGCCTCCCCGCCCGCGCCGCGCTCGCCCCGCCTCGGCTCACTTAAAAGTTTACTCTGGCCGGGACGCGGGGCGAAACGAACCATGGCTGTCTACGCCGGGATGCTGCGCCTGGGGAGGCTCTGCGCCGGGAGCCGAGGGGTGCTGGGGGCCCGGGCCGTTCTCTTTCGGACTTGGCAGGAAGCGAGGTTGCTGACTGTCCGCTCCCTCAGGTACCGGGCCGATAGAAGAGAGGGGGCGGGAAGTCCCTTGGGAGAGGATCGTGGGGTTCCCGCAGAGCTTCCCCCGGTGACCGATCCCAGAAGGCTCAAGTCTCTCGGCTGCACCGTCTCAGGGTGGCGCGCAATAGGGAGTACTCGCACCCCCCAACCGCACCCTAGTACCTAGGCAACAGGAAAAGCTGGCCGGGCCTGTGTGGACCGAGGCTTTGACTGGTGGCTGCAGCGACCCTGCGCTGAGTCTGAGTTCTGGTCCACGACTCTAGATTATGTTCACCCTTTGGGCACGTAGGAAGTCGGGAGTGTCTATCCTGACAGGCAAGGCCAAGGGCCAAGGCCTGTGCTGTGCCCCTAGGACACTGCCTCAAAGCTGGGACCCCTTCAGGGATAAACTTGACTCTCCCCCACACAGGCCACTAAACTTAGCAGTCGCCCCGCTGGTTCTCAGCTGCTGAGAAGCACTACTTTCACTCCTTGCCACCTGCTCTTGGGCCTGTTTTCTTCCGTCTTCATTGCCAGGGGTGGGTTGGAGGCTTGGGGGAGGGGGTGCAGGTTTCCGGATGCTTTGCTGTCTTAGTAGCAGTACAGTAAGTGAAGCTGCCTTTCCAGAGTACCCCTGTCCTTGGGAGGTCCCCGTGAAATTGCAAATGTGAAACGTGTGTTTGGCTACACGGAGCTGGCTCCCACTGCGGCTGTGGGGTGTGTGTGGCTGTGTACCTCTGAGCCTGCCCTGCCCCCCAACGGTGCCAGGTTCTAAGTCTGTGGTCAGGACAGCTGTTCTTGACTTCAGATGGGGCATGGCCTCGGGCACCCAAAAGGGAGAAAAAAGAGGGCTGTGTGTCTGGAGAACTAGAT